GCATGATGTACCTGAAATATTAGTTAACATAGAAAGAAATATGCACTGCAAATATCAAGAGAAATAAAAGATTAATAAATATTATTTGTTATCATCAAAATCATAAACTCGGAAGCCCGAGTTGCAACATAAAGGTCTAAAATTTACTTGGGTCTCTCGAAGTCTAAGAGTTTAAATACATATAACATATTTTTTAAATATATATATATATATATATATATATATATATAAATTTGTAAAGAAGAGCATTAAACAAAAAGACATGATAATATTATATAAAGAGGAATTAATACAGTCCACAGATTTTCCTTCTTCCAGTGAATCCAGCAAGCCTAGAAAGTTTACTAGGAGCAATAGTATTGTATAAAGAGGAATTAATAGAATAAATATAACCAGAGTATACTAGCTGAATAACATAAATTCAGAACCAAGAAGCAAACAAACAACTGAGAAGGAGAAGAGACACAGAAAAGGGGGGCCAACAACAATAACATAATCAATGAGCCAAACAATTAAAAAAAAAAAGCTCCAATCTCATTATCCCAAAAGTAGGAGACTTTCTAATTACTCACCTTAAGCCTAACAAACCACTAAATGAGGATTTTCAGAGTTTTAGGACTTAAAGAAATAGAGTTGTGATTCTTGTTATTACTTTGCCAAATACTTTGGTTACTCCCACAGTCAAACATAACTTACCTTCACCTACTCAAATCGAAATCTTGCTAATAAGACTATAACAGACTGAGATATTGCATTTGGCCGGAAGTAGCTGCAACTTACCATAAGTAATGATATAATGAAGAAGAGCATTAAGAGGGCGACCAAATACAGAGAAAGCAAAATCTATCAACATCTCCAAAGTAGAAACCATCAATCCAAATATCAAAAAATAAAGAAATTTTATCATCATTACAAGTTTTTATTAGATTTAAAATAAAAATTTGACTCTTAACATAACATAATGGAGAAAAAAATCATGTAGCCGACCTGACGTAGTGGGATAAAGACTTGATGCTGCTGTTGCTGTAGTATCCCAAGTTTTATAACTAGGATGATTTCTGACAGACGTAACAATAGGTTTTAATAACTTCCAAAAATAATAAGAGGTGTTAGAAGAATTCCTAGATAAAGAAGATAGTATTAAGCAACCAATGGTTAAGAAGGGAATTATCGGTTAGAAAATTTCAAATCCTTTTTAAATTACAAGTCCAATCAATATGGGAATGGGAAATAATATAGACACTACCATTCTACCTTAGTTTAGCAGAAAGACTCCCAAGTAAAATTTGAGTTATTTAGTAGCCTTATTTTTAAAAAATGAATCTATTAAACAAACAATTAATCATTTCAATTACCGCTTCAGAAATGCAGGTTTCTCAGGATATGAGAGAGGGAGAGAGAGAAAGAGAGATAAATATTTAAGGAGTATTTAACAACTTGCAAACTGCCAGCAAAAAAGATAAGTTTTTTGTTTCCCTAATCCATGAATTAAGCTTATTAAATAGTGGTTGATAGACGCACATCTTAAACTTCTCATTTGAAATTGAAATAACCAAGTATTTGAAAGATAGACAACCCAATTAACCAAGATCTTGGGAAAAAATAGTGAAAGACTTTTCCAAATTGACATTTAAGCCCATCAGGTCCTTGAATTTTTAAAGAGAAGAGAGCATTCTAAAAACACTCAAGGAGTCAGCTTAGCCAAAGAAACAAGTTATCAGCAAAAAACAGATGGCTGATTGATGCACCGTTCTAATGAGTTTCAAACAATCATTAGAATAATTCTCTGCAATAATACAACATAACTCCTCCATAATGATAGTAAAATATGGTGTGAGAAAAGACAACCTTATCTCAAACAAAAATTTGAATTGAAATAGCAACAGAACTCTCTTTAATAATAGCAGAAAAACACATAAGAAATACATACAGAATTCCAGTTAACAAAAATAGGAGAAAAACTGCAGTTTATCAAACGAGAAGGCAAACCTTTAAGATAAAAACAATCATGAGGTAACTGCCTTAGCACAGAATAACTAATGGCTAGACCTTTTTTCTGAAACTCTGAAGAATGTTAGAGGTTAATATGACGTTGACAGAGATGCCCCACAACTCAATAAAGCTGCTTAAGTCAGGTTGATTATTTTAGCAAGGAAAGGTTTGATTTTGTCAGCAAGGAGCCTAGATATGATCTTATACAAAGTATTACAGAATGAAATAGGTCTAAAATTTGAACTTTGAAAAACATTTTGTTTCTTTTGGATTATTTTAGCAAGGAAAGGTTTGATTTTGTCAGCAAGGATCCTAGATATGATCTTATACAAAGTATTGCAGAATGAAATAGGTCTAAAATTTGAACTTTGATAAGCATGTAGTTTCTTTTGGATCATACCAATGGCAATGTGGTTAAAAATTTGAAATTTTGAAGAAATGCAATGCAGCTTTAATAAACCGAGGGCAAACCAACTACAAAGAATCCTTGAAAAAATTTAACATTGGAACTGCCAGGACAGGTGATTTATCATTGCCTGGGGCCAAAAAAAACATTTTGATATCAAGATCAAATATAGGCATTTAAAAAGTTGCTTATTAGTATTAGAAAGAGTATCAACAAAATCAATATTAGATAAACGTTTAATTGTGTTTGTCCAATAATTTAGTGGTATTTGTTTAATAGTTTACTTGTATTGTCTAATAGTTCACTTATATTGAGTGTATGATTCCATGAAATCGAGGATACATGTAGCAAAAATAGCTCCATCTTGACATAATTTTTAACCAAAAATACCAGGGAAAACCTTAGAACAAAATTTATTGGACTCATTGAACTGGCCTCACCGCACAAAAACTTGTTTATCCAGCAAGAAAGTTTATTAACGAAAATATTTCAGTTCAAATTTCCCTTAGGATTTCAATCAGGTTTTAATTTGGCAAAAAAAAAAAGAAGAGAGAAATAATAAACATTCCATATTCTAACCATCAAACTCTATAGCACTACCCATTAAAAAAAGTTCACATAACAATGCGCATAGAGTTAAACACACTTACAGAAACATTTGAAGGATTATGCAGCACTCCGTATTAGCTAGATATTGTTACGTATAAATATTCTATGCACATCAACATAAAGCAAATACATAATACTCCATGACCCTACGCCACAAAAAATCGCTCCAGAGCTGACACAATATTTTCTAAATAAGAATTAACAAAAACCAACACAGTCGAATATGATGAAACAAGAACAGAAATTAAATCTCTTTCTTTCTTCAACAGTTCCTCAAATTTTCAGGTCAAAGCCTGAAATTTATACCACAAACCCTATTTCATAGACTAATTAAGGCATCATCAACTCCAATCAATTAACTTCATGAATGATACATTCAAGAAAAAGAATTAAAAATAGATCTACGAATTACAGATGTACCGATAAGAAAAAGAGGGCATCGAGCTCAAAGAAAGCCGCAAAGGACAGAGAAGCCGAGAATGATGAGCCACACAATGTGTATGAGGAGGAAGGCCTGCCCTGAGAGGAGGCCGTTCCCGCTGTTTCCAACCTCGCAGTACCCACTCTTCGCCACGCGGACGCCGGCGCACGCGGCCTCCGGGCATCCACACCAGTACGTCACTCCGTTCTCGCCGCAAACAGGGTCTGGTCGGAAGCAATTGATGGGGCAGGATCGGGATCCGTCGGATAAGGCGGGGCAAGGATCGTTGTCCGTGGCCTCCAATTTAGCGTTGGAGAGGTGAATAGAGTTGGCGAAAAATAGGACGAGGGCGAGAAAAAAAGCTCTCGCCGCCGGCGACATAGCGAGCGAGCCAGATCAAGCAAGCCCTGGTCCCAGGACAGGATCCGAAACCCTAGCACAGAGAGAGTCAATCGCCTAGCGAATGCCAGAAGAAGAAGAAACTGAAAATAGGAATAGGCAACGATATTTCCCTTGCTTTCCAGCGAAGTAATCTTTTTCTTTCTTGCTTGCTTTTTTGTTTTTCGGTGGGATCTGGTGAAGTTTTGTGGGTAGTCCGCTGAAGAGTTGTTGATACGCTTATGCATGGTGGTGCTGGGCCAGTGAGCCTGCTGGCAAGTGGCTACCTTTGGATTAGCTTGACCCCTATCAACTCTAATGAGTTATTGGGCTTCATTTGGGACAACTTTATTATTATTTTTTAAAATAATTTTTAATTAAAAAAATACATTTTGATATTAAAAAGTTTATTTAAGAAGCAGTAATAAATTATCCCAAACAAAAACTCAATAGCCAAAGAAATTATTCTGACGGACTCTAAATGTAGCTCTACGTCTGAACTCCACTAAAATGCTAACACATGTATATTTAATATTTATATTATTTTTCTTACAACGTGATGGCCCGACCCTGTCGAGACACTCTTTTTAACCTTTTTAAAAAAAGAAACCCACGAAAGAGCCCAAATAGTTATGGTTTTGACGTGCGGCTAAATATCACATTTTACCTAATGGAAAAGAAAAACGAGAAACAAGCGAAGAATATGGAAATTGACTTGGAGGATATTGTATTCTCCGAGAAGATGAAAGTTGGTATGCAAAATATCCAGGAAGCGCTACTGTAGTCAAACATGGGAGAAAAGTTTAAACTATTATCGGTAAATTTTAAACTCCTCCCAAGTTTTATTATTTTTCCAGTGATTATATAGTTTTTTAGGGTTTAAAGGTGTATTCTAAAATTATTTATGAGTCGAATGCCACGAAGAAGCATGATTTTATTATGTAAGTAAGATTTTAATGTAAATATTAATTATTTATGTGTCGACGCCTCAAAGAAGCATGATTTTATTATGTAATGATGATTTTAATGAAAATATATAATTTTTTAGGGTTTAGTTGTGTATTGTTGTGTACTGCTGTTTATTTTGCTATGTATTATTATGTACTGCTCTGTATTATTTTGCACTAAGCTGTGTACAGCTATGTATTACTATGTACTGCTATGTATTGATGCGTACTATTTGTGTACTATTGTATATTTAGTTTGTATACTACTGTGTATTTAGCTGAGTAGTACTTTTGTTTTAGTTGTGTATTATTGTGTACTGAGATGTGTATTGAGTTTTATATTGTTTTGTACTAAGCTGTATATTGCTATGTATTTAGTTGTGTATTGCTATATATTTAGTTGTGTATGATGTGTATTGTTGTGTACTGCTCTTGTTTTAGCTGTGTATTATTGTGTATTGAGTTGTGTATTATTTTGTACTGAGCTATATATTGTTGTGTATTTAGATGTGTATTGTTGTGTATAACTATATATTTAATTACGCATTATTGTATATTTAGATGTGTATTGTTGTATACCGTTATGTATTTAGCTATGTATTATTGTGTATTGTTGTGCATTAGTTGTGCATTATTGTGTATTTAATTGTACACTGAGCTATACATTGAACTGTATATTGAAATATGTATTATTATTTAATTGTTCTATGTACAAGCTTATATTCAACGATCTGAATAGTTTTTGTTTGTATATAAGGTGTTTATAATTATAAAAAGGAAGTATATGATATGTATTGCAGTTATGTTCATATTGTTGGTTTCAGTGTTCACAATGAACATCACAGTTAATCGACAAATTCCATAAAAATAAGATCTAAGGATTTTGTATGTTCAAAAGCTGTTTTCAAGAATGATATTGATTGAAATTCCCAATCAAAATATTAAAAATCAAACATCAAAACGGGATGTCCCATAATGAAGATGGAATTTGGAAGGTGCAAAAAATGTAGGGATTTTTACATACATAACACTTAAAAGTTTCTTATTTACTTATCTAACACCTAAACTTATCTATTTACACACCTACCACTTAAAATGTCTTTTACTTTCAAAAATACCACTCCCTCTTCCTCTCCGTCAAAACCAGCTGGATATCCTTCTTCGCGCTCGAAGCCTTTGATGACAGCAAAATCCATCGTTGAAATCTTCCTCTTATGTTCAAGAAGGATAAAACCAGAGAGCTTCAACGACTGTTCTTTTCTGATTCCAGACAAGTATGTCAATGGCAGTTTAAGAAATAAAAAGCTGTCGTCCCGTGCCAAAGCTCTATACATCAAAATTAAAAATGTCGCCTAATCTATAAAATAATCTAATTCACATTTCAACACAAGGCAGTTATTTGTCCTTTTTCTCCTCCTTCTTCTTCTTCTTCTTCTCTCTACACAAAGAAAGGATTTTATTCCATTTTATTCATGCTAGAGTCCTTCACCTTCTTCCCCTTCTTATTTGGTTAAAAATAAAGTGTTTGGTTTTGGAGAGGAAGAGAAAAAGACATGGATCGCCAAAGGCACAACCTTCTTTGGGGCTGAATGCTCGCCGGAGCGTCAACCGACGAAGAATAAGAGAACTTTTAAGTGGTATGTGTGTAAATAGATAAGTTTAGATGTTGAATGAGTAAATAAGAGAACTTTTAAGTGTTATGTATGTAAAAATACAATCACGAATTGACTAGGGCAAAAGGTTAAAATCTACTTTAAATCCTGTAAGAATATTAGTGATGTGAAAGCATCAGTTCTTAAATTAATGACAGAAGCCAGGATAAGAATCATTGATGTATTTACATATCTTGCCGATGAAGTTGGAGGTTTTAAAAATGTTGGATTATCTAAGAGGGGTGTATATAACTACATTCAGAAAGAGAAAAGAGCAAAGATTAAGTATGGGGACACTAATTCACTATTTCAGCTATTTAAAGATAGATAAGTTGATGACAACTTGTTTGCATGGGACATCCAAACTGTTGTATTTAATAGATTGTAGATTTTTTTTTGGTTGATGGGATGAGAAGAATATGTTATGATTTCTTTGGAGAAGTAGTAATTTTTTATACTAACTACATGCTTAATAAATATAATTTAGTATGTGCATCATTTATTGGAGTTAATAATCATTGGCAAAATATTCTGCTTACGGTGGCCTTTCTGTTATGGGAGACATTTGATTCATTTATGCGATTGTTTAGAATATTTATACGAATAATGGGTGATAAAAATCTAATAATAATATTCTCTTACCAAGACCAAATAATGAGTATGGCCATAGAAATTGGATTACCCCATACAAGCCATATATTATGCCAATGGCACATCTCTAAAAATACTTCATCAAAAGTCTGGTGCTTCAATGGCAACAATAAAGTTAGAGCATTGTTTTATAAGCGTTTAAGCAACTGAGACTCTAAGGAGAATTTCGAGAGAACTTGGGCTGAAATGATCACATAAGGGGGCTTCCAAAGCAATAATTTGTTGAAAGAGTTTTATAGAATAATAAATAAATGGTCAACAACATTCAATAAGAATTGATTTAGCATGGACATCCTGTCAACACAATGTAGCGAGCCCACTAATAATGTATACCATGATATTTTGAAGCCAACAAGTTCTATAACTGATTATTTTTTATGGTCGGAGAAAATGCAGATGACTTGACGCTAGAATGACCAGATAAAGATTTGAGATTAGCAAGTCCAAAATAATACTTGTGATAAAAACAACCAAATATTAAAGCAAGATACTCGATTTTATTCAAGAAAATTATATTCATTTTTTGAAGAAGAATTTTTACAAGATATATGTGGAATGTTTATAGACTATGTCTTAAGTGATTCATCAAACTTTTTCGTCAAAAATATAAAGAATAAGGACCAGTCAATCCATTGGACTGTTCATTTTGATGCAAAAGAGGGTACCATTCAATGTTGTTGTAGGAAGTTTAGGACAATGGGTTTACTATATTCTCACTGCATAAGAGTTAAAAGGCAGCTAAATATTATGAATATACCTTCGAGGTATCTACTACTGCAATGGCCAACAAGAGTTATGAAATATATTTATACTTGCGACAAATTCACAGGTTTGGGAAAGAAAGATAACACATTTGAGGCATGTGTTAGTATGATATTAAAAAGTCATCTCAGTAGATTTGCATATAAAATTAGCACACTAACATAGGGAAATTAGGAGGAAGAATAGTACATGTTGGCTGCAATGAATGACATGGCTGAAAATATAAACTTGATCATTGATGGTAAGAGAAAGAAACACAAGTTCGTAGGCAACACACAGGATGAGATTAAAAAGTTGAAAACCCCTCCAAAGTATAGGCCTAAAGGCATCTCTAATATAAGGTTGAAGGGACATTGGGAAAAGAAGAGAAAATATAAGAGTAAGAATTTGTTGTAGTGGGAACTACAATAGTAAATTGTGCACCATCGAGCCAGCTTAAGATCTCAAATATACTAGAATGCCTCATAAAGAAATTTATTCTTGGAGCAGCAACTAGCCAACTAAAACCTGAATATATGAGGATGATGATGAATATCATTTACTCAAAGCAAAATAGTTGATGTGTAATTATTTTATAATAATAATTGATATTCAACAGATCTAACAAAATAGCTTATGTAAAATTATATTGTGTATTGTAATAAATCATTATAAAATTTTATTGTGTATTTCTCGGAATATTGTTGTGTATTTCTCTCAGTATTTTTGTGCACTGTTGTGTATTTTTACGCATATTATTGTGTACTGCTGTTTATTGCTATGTACTATTATGTATTGCTATGGATTAATGTACACTGTTGTGCATTATTGTGTACTGGTTTGTATTAAACTGCGTATTTGTAATAATCTGTATTTTAACTTTGCCAATTTTTTCTGGAGTCATTATAAATGAATGAGCACTAATGAAATGTGAAAGTCAAGTGCAAATGAACCTTTGATAGCAAGTTTTCCATGAAGCATCTGAACTTTCTGTGAAAGCAGCTTCCAAAGTATAATTAAGAACTTTGAAATCAAGTGCACATTGAAATCCTAGAAAATCATATTTCATAAATACTTTATTAATTCTTTTGAAGTCATTATATTTGTTTTTAATTAATTAATAGCTATGTACTATTTTAAATTGGATATTAATATCTATGATAGACTAGATAAAAAAATCTACTGAGTGGGCTATGCTCACTCAATCAATTTTCTTATATTTCAGGAAAAGGTAAAGGCCAACAGAGTAAAAAGGGGTAGAGGTGGAATCTTCTGAGTACAAGTGATTGAGGTATTCTTTTGTAATTCAATTTTAAATCCTTTTGATGTAAAAATGATTGAAAGTTGATTGAGATATTGTAAATATATATACATTTTGATGAAATGAAAAATGTTGAGTTACTTATATTATTTGAATTTTATAGTAGCTTTGGTTATTTATGTTGATGGTTGAGAAGTTAAATTATAAGTTTAGGGTTTCTATCATTCCGTTAAATCCTATGGCGCTATATTAAATCTCCGACCTCTTCACCATCTTAGATTCATATTTATAAAGAGTGAAAGCTAGGGCATCACAATCCTCTCCCATTTCTTCCTAGATTTGTCCCTCTTTGTTCTCCCTCACAGCTGCCAACAAAGCTTGAAAGCATTATGTGCGGATGCTGAACGCATCCGGACGAGAACGAGGAGGCGCCACATCACCCAATGCACAATGCACAATGCATTGCATGATGTGGCGCCTCCTTATTCGCATCCGGACGTGTTAGGCGTCTGCACATAATAATCTCTCTAATAAAGAAGACTCCATCGTCGCTTTATTCCTTCTCAATCAAGTGCTAGCTGAAAACTCATTCATCCTTTGTCGCGAGCTTTTCTCCCTCTTCTTCTTTTGACCACAATTCAGCTTCAAGATTTCCCCCTCTTCAAGACCCATTGACACGCAAGTGCTTTAAGAATGATACTATCTGTAAGTTGGCCAACTCGATATCACTGATATTCAAAGTTTATAAATATCAAAATTTTCATGCTGAAGAGTGACTGATAATCTCTTATATCATATTCTATGGCAAATATACAAACGAATATACTTAACCAGAAACTGAGTAATAAACTTCTGCTCTTCAAGAAAGCAGTGTCACAAAGGAACTCTGCTCTTCAAGAAAGCAGGATCCATACTACAAAAACATTTCAAAGACAATAAAGCACTAGAGACCACAAAAGAAAAGAACTTCAATTCCAATTAAATGATTGCAAACATCAAATTTTCTTCACCTTTGGTTCTTTAATGGCTAACTTAAACCAAGGGATCCATACAGAAGTCATCTTCTGATAATGTCGGTAAGCTGCTGCTCGGTCTTCTCGATTAAGCATTCGTTGTTCGACGAGAACGGTGACATAGGCTAAGCAAAGGCTATTCACAAATGGCCCGAGAAACATCCATTCTTCTCCCACATTCCAAGCAAATACAAATAAGCCCCACCACCATAACTGCTCCCCAAAATAATTTGGATGGCGAGAGTAGTACCACAAGCCTTTGTTCAGGTTAGGCACTGTTGGGGAACCTTCTACTTTTAGAACTTCATTTCTTTGCATGAAATTGTAGAGCTGTGTATCGGCAAAGAAGGCAATCGCAATTCCACTAATGCATGTACAGGTAGCCATGAAATCCCAAAATCCCCATGGCTTATTGCTGGAATGAATTGCATATAGTGGCAGACAAATGCCAATCAGAAAGATCTGACAACTAACATATAAACTGTTAGGCATTTTGTTGTTTTAGTTTACATAAATTAAGAAAAATCGTACAGAAAGTTCATGAAGGAAAATCATACAAAAAGTTTATTGTGAGATGTTGGTCCAGTTTTAACTAGGTTATTCCTGCTTGCTATCACACGCCTGTATTGTTTGGGAGAAAAATCTTAATAAAGCTTAGTTTTATTTTCTCAAAATTGCTGTCTCTATCTCTCCTCTCCTCCCTCTATCTCTCTTTTGCAAGAATAGCTCAAAAAGCTCTCAAGAATTCCTACTAGATTTCTAACACTTATGAAGGAAAATATGTCAATGCTTTATAAAAAAAAAAAAATGTCAATGCTTTATTAGTTGAAAAAGCAAGCAGATAAATAGCCTGAAAGTTAACTATTCTGGCTGCCTTCATGATGTATTTCGAAGAAAAGTAGGCAAATATTCTAAAAGAAGATATTCAACAAAGTTTAGAAGTTCTTAAAAGCATCTTCTAATAGATTAAACTGTATTTTAATAAATGTAAATTGCACGTTTAATTAATAGTGAAAACAATATGATTATACGCTTCTCTTCTCAGAAGACTTTTCTGAGAGGGGGGTGGAGGTGGTGTTGGAATTTGAACTTGTAATACAAAATCACTGAAATAAAGAAAAAACATTTGAAATTTAAAAAAAAAAGTAGTAAAAAAATTAAGAGGAAAAAGCATTTGCAATATCTGGGAAACTGTGTAAGACAATCTAACAATAGGTCTAAAACTTCACGCAGATAAGGTTGTCATCTAAAACTCTATTGACTGAAGTGGCCTCACTCCTGTATGAAATCATGACAACAGCAAATTAATCTCCATAGTTTTCTTGTTTCTACTTCTTATTTTTCACAGCATCCAAAGTAGGCAAATATATAGAAAAAAGTATGCTTGTTAATTCAACGTTATTAAAAAACTTTGAAAGAAACTATAGTACATGCTAATAAACTTTCTAACTGGTTTGTCAAAAAAGATTTAAAATCTCAGGAGACGAAATTTCACAAATAGAGGCAAAGGCATGTGTAAGTTTAAGGCATCTTTGGAGGCACAAAACCAAAAGTACACTGTCTAGCTAATGGGGACATCAGATCATGGAGAGTCTATCAGAGACATGGCCGTCGATCTATGGCCACGATTGAGTCATTGTATTTCTGAGTTATTTTATGTATTTTCTTATTTATGATGTTATTTTGTATTTGCTTTATTAGTTTCCCGTTGTACCCTTTTATTAAGGGAGGTCGTATGTAAGTCCTAGGGGCATTGTCATCATTCTATTTTTGTGAGTCTTTGTACGTGGCTATTGATAGCCCTTATGTTCTTCTTTTGAGATTAATGAATAATTGATTACAAATTTTTCTTCTCTTTGTTTGAGTTCTCTTGAGAGCTTGGGAGTTTGGAGTGAAATCCCTAGAAGAGGGAGAATTGGGCATCGCCCACCAACCTTGACGAGTCGGGTTCGTGATTTTATTATCTATCTTTTTTCTTTTTCCCCCTCCACCGCCGGCTCCATCTTCCCCTCTCCCTCCCACGTCCCAAAACCTCATCCGCTGCTTGAACCTCCGCCCTCTCTTCCCACCGTCCCCATCTCCTTCCCCTCAACGCCCCACCACAACCACAACCGCCGGCCCACCCTTCTTACCAAGCTGCTGGCCCCCACCCTCCCCTTTTCAAATTATTCCATAAAGCCCCCACTTTTCTTATTTAAGTCAATCTATTTTTGGAAAGTATTTGAATTTGAAATAATTCAATTTTAGATTTCAAATTATTCCATAAAGCCCCCACTTTTCTTATTTAAGTCAATCAAGCTGCTGGCCCCCACCCTCCCCTTTTCAATGTACTTCTTAAAGTCTAACCCCTTCCTTGTAATTTGATTTTAGTCATGAAGATCGTCGCGTTTGCCTAATTTTGCAAAGCTTAGTAAATGTAGGGGATTGAGTGCACTTCATTTGTTTTTAATCTCATTGTTAGATTAGAGATTTTCATTGAAAGCTATTATATTTGCATGATATTGATTTCCTATGTTATTTTGATGATTCAAAGCTCTTGATGTGCAACTTGGCCTAAACGAAAGTGACCGCTCTTACGTTTTATTTCATTGTTTTATTTTCTAATAGTTTTTACTTGTTATTACTCTAATCAATAAGTCGTGCAAGCTCTTTTCAAATTACTTCAAGCAATGTAGTCCTACATCACTATCATTGTCTTGAGAGAACAATTTTGTAGTTATTTGACTCATAAGTTGCTCCATAGCTAGAACATAACAATTTGCACTGGAATGGCAATAAAAACAGTCCAAAGCTGTGATGATGAAAGGTACAAGTGCGGTGGGGCTGTGGGTATAACTAGCAAGAGCGACTAAAAGAATGAAGGATCTGTTAAACTCCACCGCATGCCAATCAAAAGTATATCTTAAATGCAGCGAATGTAATGTAATATTACTCTTAAATTTGCTCTGGAAGCAAAGATCCATCAACAGGTTTAATACAGCTCAACTCAGATCACCAAAAAAAAAAGAGAGAAAATGCTTGACATCTGCTGTTTTGAATCAGAAATAAGTTCACTTAAAGCCCATAGAAAATGCAAATGTCTAATGGGCATTTGCTCAAACACTTCAAATACACTAACACGAAACCCACTCTAACATACAAAGCATGCATACCCAATAGCACCCCCGCCAGCCAAATGAATAAACTTATCAGATTCCAAGAAAAAATAAGCATCATAAGATGGAATAACGAATAAAAAAAATAGTATTAAAGCAAGAAGGGAGCAAAACTTCTATACCTGCTGAGACACATACACGGCAAAGAATGAAACCCACCACCAATGTTTCCCGTACTGCTTTCTCAACTTATTAAATCTCCAATCCTCCCTAGCTCCCCATTCCCATTCCTCCCTCCTGAAATAACTATGGGTGAGCCGTATGCTCCAAATATAGGTAAGAACAATCGCCACCATCGATCTCACCACATTTGCTCGCGCCAGAGGATGGCTTGCGAAGAAATGAATTAGCATGACTGGAATTATGGTCCAGTATAGGTCGATCATCTGCACTCAAACAAGCGATATTAATCAGAAAGGAACTGAGTTTGAACGAGCTGAAAGAAGGGAAGACATAAAAGAGGGGACTTGGTAAGCACCCAGTGCTTAGACTGAAGAAGGCCGATGATCCAAAAGAGGACGTCAACGTTGGCGAAGAAAATGACGTTGGATAGCATGAGAGGGTGCTTGTAACACCATTCCCAAAGAGGGCTGGAAGCGTTGGAGAGGGAAGAGGAGGATAACAAGGAGCATCGGTAGTGGCGGAGAAAAAAAAGGTAGAAGAAGATGGAAGGGAGCGGGGTAAGCAAGGCGATTGCGGCGTTCTTCAGATTTCTCATTACTTGAGGTTTCACAAGCTTAACTCGAAGGGAGAACTAAAATTTTTGAGATTCCATCGCCGGAGAGGATTACGTTTATAATGATTATAGTCTTATAGATAGCCAGGGGAGTTCATAAAATAAGGCGGCGTCAGGTCCACAAGAAGGCCACCAGAAGTCCAGAAGGCGCCGAAAGAGCTGGTTTTTAAAAAATATTTTCAAAGTATTGTAATCACTAATCAGCCGTTTAGAATCACTTTATTTCTTTTTTTTTTTAAATTTATTTTGGTTTATTGTAATATTAATGTAAATATATTTGATATTTTATGTATTTATTAATTTAAAAAAGTTTAAATGTCGAAATAGTCCCCAATTATTCGAATAGGACCATTTTAATTCTAAATTATAATGTTGCTCAAGTTTAATCTCTCGACTATATAAAATTAATCCGAAATGATCACTTTTGGATTAAATTGGCATCAATTTTATAAAGTGGAATGACTAAATTGAAATCAAATGACGAATTATTTTGAAACAATTTATTATAATCAAGAAATTAAATTGCAACAACATAATACTTTGAGACTAAATTCAATCAAATATGAATAATTTGATGACTATTTTGAATTTTTTCTGTTAAAATTAAAAATCACAGTCACATTTTTTGTTATTTCTTAAAATTGAATCGAACATTAATGATGATGAAAAAAACTCAGTTGAACCAAGCGGTTAGAAACACCAATGGTAATGAAACCTGGTTAATGAACCAACTGCTCTCCGTGTATTTGGAAGAGTTCTCCAAATTTCCTATTTATAAATTTATAAATAGGAAATTATTATTTAAGACAAAAAACTAAATTTATAAATTCTTATTTTGCATTTAATTTTGATAACTGATGATTGGCGTGTTAATTCTATTTTTTATAAATTATTTTGAATAATATGTATTCTTGTTATCTTAAAATTATTTATTTCATCATAATGCTTCAATATTGATTTTATTTACCTATCTAATAAGTGTATTTCTATTATTATACAACAAAAGCATAATTTAAATTATTTTATCTTCAATAATCATTATAAACAACCACATATAGAAATCTTAGGCCATATGGTCACTGTCAAAGGTGTCAGCCGAAAGCTCGAAACTTAGGCTTTGTTTGAGATTATTTTTTTATTGCTTCTTAAAGTAGTTTTTTAATAAAAAATTATATTTTTGTACTAAATAATTGCTTTAAAAAGAAAAAAAAAAATCGACCCAAACGAAGCCTTAAAGAAGATCAAATTTATCCAGGATTGATTGCTTATCTGAAATGTAGGGTAGTTGCAAAGGTTTTCTTGGATTGGGTCTTTGTTATCACAAGAATATAATATACATAGCAATATTGCAAAACCTCTTACTTTTGTTTAAGCAATATTTTCAATGGATTAAGCAAGCTGATCTCGCATTCGGGAGGCTTAAACAAGCTGATCTCGTCAGCCTCGTCGTTACCAAAGTAGTGGTGCGCTGGCATTTATATTTGGACCAAAATTACGTCAGGGCTGTTATGAATCTTGGAAGAGGAAGAGAGCTTCTTGCTCCTTCTTGGATGGGAGGGAGAGAGCTTCAATCTAGAAATTCGAGGCCCAATTCTCAAAATACTTGAATGAGAATCACACACTTTATTTATAGAAGAATACATATCTTCTAAAACTTCGCTTCAATCCAGAAATTCGACGCCCACTCGAATCGAAATTGGGCTCTAATACCACAATGTTGGAGATTTGGAGAAATAAGATAAAATAAAACTGAAAAAGTCTTTCTAGTGGAATTTAGAAAAGTGCAGTTTTTATTTTTCTCTCTTAATAACAATTCACGTACAACGACATAGCAGTTTTAAACAAAACTAAAAATAAAGCAAACCGTCACTTAACAGGCACTTTTTCGCTAACACCGTTTGAGTTTTAATAACACAAATAATAAACTAATTTTGCATTAATTTATAACAAGAGATCTGAACTCAAACTAATCTATATTGATTTTGGCCTTGTTTCCTTGCTAAAATGTCATCACTATTTAAAAGCTAAAGTAATCAAGAAAAAATGCAGCTAAGATACAACCTGGCTAAAAATGGATCAATTTTTAATAATCTCCACATTGGCTCAATTTTACAAAAATAAGGAAAGACATCTGCAATCCATAAAGAACAGCTATGCCAGTTATTCATAAAGAATAGCCTAAGAAAAAGACTACACTTCACGGTTACTAGTTTCTTATTCACCTACTTCCTCAAGAATTGCTCTACCAGCTTCTTGAGCCTCTTGCTGCCAGAGCCCGAGCCCAGCTTTACCTTTTCTCCAGCTGTTGTTTGCAAAAAAAGCCAAGAAATATCTTCCCTTCCAATCCGTGGATGAATCCAATTAACCTCGTATTATGCTCATGTCTCCAAAACAATTAATTAAGCTCCACCTGCTTTCGATTCCGAGCTTGTGAAACACACCCGCCAAACCAGGGCCAGCCTTCCTCGCATGAACCCTGCATAGTGCTCAAAATGGCCCTGCGCACACATCCTACTAGCGTTCAAGCAATCCAACTCTGACCACACCATGTGCATATCCACCTGATCTTGACACTCATTTGCGCCCGTATGACACCAACCAGACGATCGCTCTACCTGATCCTCCTACTGCGTGTTCTTGACACCCGATCAGAATGCCTGGGATGAACCACCTTCGCCATTCTTCACCATTCTGTGAACGAGACCTTGTCTCGCCCCTCTCTCTTTATTGAATACCAGAACACCTTCCTCCTCCTTGTGATCATCTCTACCTTACTTTGATACCACTTTTTATGAATATTGGAAGAGGAAGAGAGCTTCTTTCTCTTTCTTAGATGAGAGAGAGAGAGAGAGAGAGAGAGAGAGAGAGAGAGAGCTTACCCTTGCTTCCTTTCTACAATGCCATCCCTATTTATAAGCTAAAATCAAGATAAAGTGCACCTAAGATACAACCAAATTAAAAAAAAAGACCAATTTCTAACACCTTCGATATCACAAATGCATCTCTGAACTCGTGATCCATATAATCCAAACTCTTGCACAACATTGTTTCTTGGTTAAACTATTGGGATACTATTGCTCCCTCAAAAACAACTCGTGCCAATAAAACAAGGTCACTTTTAGTTTTTCTTGATAACATAAAGATGCTGCAAACTTCCCCAATATAATGTCACTAAGCACTATTATATCTTCACTAATACTCAACCTATTGGTACAAGTCGAAGTAGAGAGCAGCTCTACTCTATGACATCAAAGTTACTCCAAATTACCACATTTCAGATGGATTACTCCACAAAAGAGGGTGAGTGGTACTTCGGGCCAATTCTTAACCACACACAACTATCCAGTACATTGAAGACCATGATGATTTTTATCAAATAGTCCATTGCATAGCAAGCCGATTTTATTGGTCCATAAATTGTCTTGGCATACATGAATTCATGAAAACCTACACAACATACCTAATGAGAAAATTTTAGCCTCTAGCTCCTTTTGGCATGCTATAACGATACCCATTCCAACAACAGCTTGGAGTGATATTATCATGGTCTTTATTGTTATACTTCCGGAGTCTTATAGGTAGGTCATTATCATGGTCATTGGAAATTTGCTAGCAAAAAATGCCCATTTTGTTATTTGATCAATATGTTTATTTTGTAGCCTCGGACCTCAAAATTTGTCGTATTCGTTGGGGGATTGCGGGGGTTCACATTACAATTTTTTTTCCTATACAACCCCCCCCCGCAAGGTAGAGATATGGTGCCGCAATGGGTCAAGACAGAGACTGAGCGCCGCAACGCTGAGTGTTTGAGCACCGCAACATTGTCAAATAGAGACTAGGCACCGCAGCTCTCCAAATTGGCATCGTAGCGCTGCGAGACTGACTGAATAGTTATTTTTCTCATTTTCTCAAGGGTTGTGTCTCTTGTGGGTTATAACTTACTTTTTCTTGTATTTGCTGAGTATGTATACATTAAGAATGGTATATGTGAGAAGAGAGGCAAAGAGAGAGTGAAAGAGAAGAGAGATATGTACTTATTTCTCACAATTTTCATAGTGAGTTTTTTGGTGTGATGTGGCTCCATGGTTTATTTCCTAGTTTGGATTTTCCACGTTAAATCTTGATGTCCTTTATGATGTGAAAGCAACTCTTCAAGTTGATCCGCAGGAATACCACACCCTTGAGCAATGCCCCAGGAATACCACACCCTTGAGCAATGCCCCTCTTACCGTTATGATGCATGTTACCACTACTTATATAACTAAATATAGTACCATAGGACGGACACACTTTTAGCTTTTGATTCCCCACTCGTAGCAATGTTTCTGCCTCCTATATGAGGATGAAAGGAGACTTCAGACAGTAGTTTTTTTTTATCAATATACTTCTTTTAAGTTGATTACTGTTATATTGCTAGTTTTTGTTCTTTGTTTTTCGTTTTATTGCTTCCACAGCACTTTGCTTTTCGCCTGCTTTTACTTTATTGATTGTTTCGTCATTGTGGTGTTCACTCAATCTCCATCATCCCCCAACCCATTTCTTCACATTATCCACTCATTTCACAGTTAATAAAGTCCAATGCTATTTATGGTGGATATTTATAAATTATATAGTCCGCCACAAGTAATAACATCATATCCACTCATTTCCATGAGCTATTATTCTGTGCGTACACCAGATGGGAGAACCGTCCGATTAAGCGTTGGATACCCAGCGGTATCGAGGGGAACTGAATGCGGGTACCGAGCTGGGTACCCAGCAATGGGGTAATGTGGCACAATTTTATTAATCTCCGAACGCCTAGACAAGACAATGTCGTGAATTGAAATTCCTAGTGGGAGAGTTACTCCTAGATAAACTTCTGTCCTACATACAAACCTCCGAGGTAACACTCTTATTCAAAGCTACAAAGATGATTCTACAGACCTTACATAGTAACAATTGTTTACAATTTTGCAAAACAAACTTGCTCAATTGCTTACAAGTTTCA